TTGAAAAAATCGTTAAATGGTGTTATGCTTATTGATTGATATGAAAAAAGAAGCAAGTCGTATAAATGCTTAACAAAACTAGCCTTCCAACACTATGCTTATATATTTGGTGGGGAAAAATAAAACTTAATCTCTTTGGCATAGCGATCTCTCTGCAAAACATAAAGCTTGTCTAGCCCCTGACGATCTCAGAATTGCAAGGTACTCACGTCTTCATATCATATGCTTTTGCTATCATTTTTTTACTTATAGGATAACTCCTGAACTACAACTAGACATTTTTAGCGTCTCCGCTCACATTTGTTTGGAGGGAAATAAGAACAGAAGTTAAAATGATTTCTTTTCAAATGTACTGTATATGTAAAAAATTAATTACTCTTGTCGCACAGATCTACCTTGATCAGCCATAACGCAGATGCCTAATTATTGCACATGATTGTTGATCTCTACTCTGGACTAGTTAAATCAGACTACTCAGGTTGGATTCTTTCTAAGTTTCGCCTTTTTTATTACTGGATTTTTCTTCACACACTTTACTTTACAAATCTTCTTTTCTGGAAATTCATATTCATAATCGGACTCAGATGAATCTGTTAGCTCTTTGCCGGACTCTAACCCAGTTTGCTCTTTTACATAATTTCCTATACAATCTACAGTTCTTTCTAGCTTTTTAACCTTCTTCTTAAGCTCAGATGGATAAGAGTAGGAAATAATGTATCTAAACGATTCTATATCATCCAACCTTTCCTCTAACACTTTGATTTTTACAGAAAATAATGCACTTTCGTGTAATCTCATTTTAGTATTATTTTTATAACTGTATAATTATTGTACCAGAAAAAATAAAATTTTCGGAATGAGTGCTATCTAATCCTATTCTTCATCAGACTCAAATATGAGTTTTATTTTTGGGTATAAGTTTTGAAAATCAGATATTATATTCTTTCTAATCTGTAAACACCCCCTATTTCTATCATTCCTAAACTAGAAGCCAGTCCTGTAATTTTTAAAAATGCTTTCGGACTTATTCGCCTAGAATCTCTTATTGTGAGTCTTTTTAAATTGGGGTACTCGACTAGAAGCACTTCTAGATTTTTATTGTTAAGTATACGTGATCCACTATTTTCAAAACTTAGCCATTGTAAATTGGGGCAAGCCTTGCACACTTCAGAAATGTACACATCTGGCTCTATAATTATTTCTCTAATAAATTTTAGTCCTAGTACTTGTTCACATGC